AACAACTGCTCTGGAATGAGCAAGAGCATGGAGAGTGACCCTTATGATAGCACAGGTGTGATGGAACTGTCCACCCTTTTAGGGTGAAGAAGGATCATTGAGAAAAATCTTCTGGCATCCTCAGCCCCACACTAAGCACACATAATGTCAGTCATATGAACCAAGACAAACCGAGTCCAAGCCAGAAAAGAAAAACTACAGACCAGTACCACTCACAATCATAGACAATTATGTAGAAAAAGGATCGTGAACAAGTGAAGTGTATATCCTGGGAAGGTTTAAAAGTTATAAAGCCATCAATTTAATGCAAAAAAGCACTTGGCACAATTCCTTAAGAATTCATGAAGGATAAAAAGCTCAGCAAAGTAAAAATGAAGCAGATCTTCTCCAACTTCATACAGTATCTAGAATTAATGACAACGAATTACTTCGCCCTAAAATTATAACTAAGACAAGGATAGCTGCTCTCACAACTTTTATGCAACATTACATTGAATATCCTAGTCAATATAATGAGCCATGCTAAATAAAATCATAGAGATTGGAAAGGGGAAACAAAAACAATTGTCTTTATTTTCAGACAACATGACCATCTGGAAAATTCCAATCAATCTACCAAAAATTTAAGAAGCTACTAGACCTAATATGTAAATTTAACAATATCACTAGGGACAAGGTCATTATAAAATAAGCCATTTTACTTTTATACAATAAAGATTGCAAGTTGAAGTGAAGAAAGGAATTACAATAGATTCAAAAACACAAAATAAAAAGGTAGACAAGATCTAAAAAATATGTACAATATTTATATGCTGAAAGCATCAAAGGACTCATGAAAAAAATACAGAGTAACATACTATGCCCATTGACTGGAAGATTCAAGACATTAGGATATAATGTCTTAGTAAGCATATCTACAGAAACACTGAAATCTCAAAATTCCAGGAGGCTTTTTATAGAAATTGACAAAGTGATGCTAACATACATAAGATAAAGAAAGCAAACAAACTGAAAAATAGTAAGACTCATTTGAAACAGAAAATGCACAGTTGTAGGACTAATACTAATCGATTTCAATATTATAGAAGCCAAGATGATATATACTGGTATAAAAGTATATATAGAAAAGAAATGACCGAAACATGTCGTCAACTGATTTTTGAGAAAGTAATGCAATGGTGAAAAAACAGTCTTAAAAAAATAATCCTGGAACAATTAGAAATTCATGTACAAAGTCATTATTATCAACCCCTTATTATTGATCAAAATTAATAATTCACTCAAAATAGATTATTGAACGAAACGTGAAGCTTAAAACGATGAAACTTGTAAAAAAAAGAAAAGCACAGGAGAAAATTATTCTTTGAGCTCTTAGCTTGGACAAATACTTAAGACACAGAAAGTATAGACCATAAATAAATTTCAAAAAGTGAACTTTAAAAATTGTGCTTTCCTCCCACCCCCGCCACTATCATGATCTGAATTCTATTTTACAAATCCAACTAGACCAGAGGATGTACACTGGTACAGATAG